CTAGTAAAGGCAAAGAACTTGAAGGACAAACACAGAATCCTGTAAGCAGCCAGTTGGCCCAAGAGGAAAAGAAACAAGTCACTAACAGTGGGAACAAAAATCAGGCTAACTTCTCCACAGTAAAACACATTACTAAATGACAGTGTGGCAATATGGAAAAATCCTCAGAGAAAGAAAATGGGACCACAAAATCCAAGAACTGACCCAGACATGATATTTCTGAAGTACAGAGGCAAGCACAAAAGATCACATACGCTTTCTTTAAGGGATCACAGATTATAACCAGTGCTTGGCCAAATTACACAGGAAACTAAATATTGACTTTTTTACTATTAATATGTATTTTTCCAGAACATGCAAAAACGACCTTCCACTTAATTATTACAGCAAGTTTTAATTAGAGAAGTCCTAAGTAAAATTTTTTTCTATCTATTCACAGCAAAAGAGTGAAATATATAGTACATCACTTGCCTAAAGTTATACTCAGGCTGAGGAGTAGACATCCAATCTGTGCTTCAAAGCTCAGGGAACTTTACCAACCTCTTGTCTGCTGATTTCAGCCACCACCCACATTTTTAGTCAATGAAAGGTTTTCAGAAAATAAAGAGAGGACACTGATTTCAGAATGTGCTCAGACGCTCATTTGTGTCCAACTCTTTGCAACCCCATGGACTGTGGCCTGCCAGGCTCCTCTGTCCGAGTGCGTTGCCATTTCCTTCTCCAGGGAATCTTCCCGACCCAGGAATAAAACCTGTGTCTCTTATTGCCAGGTGGATTCTTTACCACTAGTGCCGCCTGGGAAGCCCAATTTCAGAATACATCAGTGTAAATAAGCTTCCCACGACTGTCACTTTTAGAAAGAGAGAGGATGCTGGGCAAATAGCAATCCCAAAATAAGATAGAGGAAAATACCAATAGAAAAGAGATGCAACTATACCAGCCCCAAGTGTTCTCAGGAAAACATACTATGATGCATCCTCCTCTGTGACATGCACTATACTTTACCCAGACTATCGCCTACACTCCACTGCAACTAAGGGTAAATCATTCCCATCATGAATTAGTTTATCCAAGGGCACAGAATCATTCCAAGTTACACATAATAAAACAAACCATTACAATAACATTATGCTCTTCTATTCCCTTCAGTGTTTGAACTTTAAACTTTTAAATGGACTAAAAATATATATTCTTAAGCGATAAGTTGCCCCACCAGCTGCTTTATGAATCTCACATTGTCCTTCTGTTACTAATTAACCGCATTCTACGCATGTCGGCCAAACATCTTTCCATCTTGAGCTTGATGAAAGGATATGCAACTGAAAGACATCCCAGGAACTGTTCTTTCTTCGCCAGGTTGATGGACACTGGCCATGAGCACATTACATCAGGTCTCCCTCCAGTTACCACATTTGTAAAGATCATGGTGCTAATGATGAAGATCATAATGGCTGACACTTACTGAATAATTAACACGTATCAAAGGTCAACAAACTTCTTAAGCACATCCATTTCTTTTACTATGCCAAATAACCCTACTGTGTGGCTAACAGTGAAAGGTTCCATAATAATATTATTACTACATATGAAGAAACTAAAGGTTAAAAAGAATCTGATAAGGAGTGGATTAATCCAAGTTGGTCTCATGCTCTTCACCACCATTCTAGTCTGCTTCCTTACACATAAAAATAGTGATGATGTCATTGTGGTGATTTTGCAATATCTACAAACATCAAATCATTAGTATACCTGAAACTAATACAGTGTTATACATCACTGATACTCAATGTAAAAAAAAAAAAAAATAGTGAGGATGTTAACTAAAGTAACATGATACAGTAGCCAAAACAGGATAACAGCTTCACAGACTCAACTACAGGGTACCCAAAAAGAGCTATCAGAAAGCAACTTCTATCTAATATAAAAGCTAACATTTGTACTTGTGGTAGAAGGGAGAGAGGGAAAGAGGGAGAAAATCAAAAGCATGAGCAAAAATCCAAAAGACCCACATCACCTAAAAAACACACAGCCTTTGTACCTGGGCCTAAACTCAACATTTGAGAAAGGAACATCGTGGCATCTGGTCCCATCACTTCATGGCAAACAGATGGGGAAAAAGTGGAAACGGTATCAGATTTCATTTTTCGGGGCGCCAAAATCAATGTGGACAGTGACTGTGGCCATGGAATTAAAAGACGCTTGCTCCTTGGAAGAAAAACTATGACATATTAAAATTTGAGACATCACTTTGCCGACAAAGGTCTGTGTGGTCAAAGCTATGGTTTTTCCAGTAGTCATATATGGATGTGAGAGTTGGGCCATAAAGAAGGCTGAGCACCGCAGAATTGATGTTTTCGAACTGTGGTGTTGGAGAACACTCTTGAGAGTCCCTTGGACAGCCAGCAGATCAAACCAGTCAATCCTAAAGGAAATCAATCCTGAATGTTCATTGGAAGGACTGACGCTGATCCAACACTATGGCCACCTGATGTGAAGAACTGAGTCATTGGAAAAGACCCTGATGCTGAGAAAGATTGAAGGGAGGAGGAGAAAGGCAACAACCGAGGACGAGACAGTTGGATGGCACCACCAACTCAATGGATGTGAGTTTGAGTAGGCTCCAGGAGTTGGGGATGGACAGGGAGTGCTGCAGTCCATGGGGTCACTAAGAGTAGGACATGACTTAGCGACTGAGCAACAACAGCTGGGACCTAAAAGTATCAAGAGTACCTGAGTGCTCAGAGCCCTACTGCCGTCCACACACACACACGTCCAGGACCAGACTGTGCTTCCCCTACCTGGTCAGCTGACACATTTACTGTAACTGAATACTCCAGGATTAACGATGAAGCCTCAGCATGCAAGAGAGCTCAAGAGTTTCAAAAGCAAGAGTTTTTGTTTTGCATTTCCAGCCTTTGAGAATGACAATTACCTATACGAGAGGGGGCACGGGGCTTCCCTTGTGGTTCAGCTGATAAAGAATCTGCCTGCAATGCAGAAGAGCTGGGTTCGATCCCTGGGTTGGGAAGATCCCCTGGAGAAGGGAAAGGCTACCCACTCCAGTATTCTGGCCTGGAGAATTCCATGGACTGTATAGTCCATGGGGTCGAAAAGAGTCGGACACGACTGAGCAACTTTCACTTCACTTCAGAGGGGGCGCGAGGTGGGGAAAGAATCTAAAAGAAAAGGAGAAACAAAGCTAAATAGGTCTGACATCCCATTACCCCTTAGGAGGATGTCTATGCTGTTCTATGTAGGCGTGCTCAGCCGCGTCTGACTCTTTGTGACCCCATGGACTACAGCCTGCCAGGCGCCTCTGTCCATGGGATTCTCCAGACAAGAATACTGGAGTGGGTTGTCATTTCCCCCTCCAGGGGATCTTCCCAACACAGGGACTGAAGCCGAGTCTTCTGAGTGGAGTCTTTACCACTGCGTCGCCTGAGAAGCCTGTAGGAGGACACTATCCTACATTAAGGACATACACGGCTACTCTCTTCAAAATAAATCCTGCAGGTAAAGGGTTATCCCCATTCTATTCCAATGTTACATACACACTCCAACAGAGATCAACGTTCCTTCCAAAGTTCTAATGAGACCATGTGCAAAGATAAAGTGTCTGAAGTTATGAAATCTGGGGACAGAAATGCAAATTCATATTAAATTCACAACCAACCCAGTGTCATTCGTGGGACAATATGGCAGACTGGAAACTCCTTGAGAACAGGGACCTTCCACAAGGTTATCTGCCAGACACCCAATCAGCCCTTCCTACCCATGCTGGGGAAGCAACTGCGTTTCTCACAAACAACTTAAGATTATCAGCAAACAAACAGTTTATAGTTCAATGTTTAAAAATGTATTTAGGTGGGACTTCCTTGGTGGTCCAGTGGTTAAGACTTTACCTTCCAACACAGGGGTCGTAGGTTTGATCCCTGGTAGGGGAGCTAAGATCCCCCATGCCTCACAGCCAAAAAAAAAAAAAACAAAAACATAAAACAGAAGCAATACTGTAACAAATTCAATAAAGAGTTTAAAAATGGTCCACGTCAAAAACAACAACAAACTTATTTAGATAAAAGCATACATTTTTCCAAAGCCTTAAAATCTAAAATTTATTTGAGCAGAATAAATACACTTTTATTAAAATAGCAAGTTGCTAGCAGGACAGTTCCATCCTGGAGGTTTAAAAGGAAAAACAAAAACTTGGAGCTGTTGCCCCCAAGTACTGAATTAGCTCTGCAAGTTGACTTCACCACTAGTGCCTCCTTAAAAGAATATTCCATCCATTATCTGCAACTTACCGATGCAAATAAATTACCCTCATAAATGCTCAGGCTTGAGAGCCTGAGGCTGAACAAATGGAACCCAAGGCCCAGAATCTAGAGTCAGAAGACCTCACATGTTCAAGTCCAGGCTTTTCCTATGCTGTTTGTGCGACCCTGGACAAGTCAATTTGACAAATAGTTTATTTTTTAGGAGGGGAAATACCTATTCCATCTACCTCACCGCAGCATCAATGTTGTCATTAAATGGAGAGACTGCTCCAAAGGGGTCACTCGCCATCCTGCCACTCCCTTGCCCTCAACCCCCAGTCCAGCCCAAGACGGAAAGAGTTGGAGACCCTCCCGTAAGTCCTTCGCGGCGCTCGGGAAAGGATGCTAACCTCATCGCCCTCCCCTGGGGACAGCGGCGACGCGCGCCCTGACATCCGCCGCCGCCGCCGCAGCGCCAGGCTACCATCGCGGCGCGCCTTCAGGGTCCTTCCCCCGGCGTTTCCCAGGCTCGCCCCGCGCCTGCGACCCCCGACCCGCCAAGTGCCTCTTTTGCCCCCTGGTGGCGCGTGGACCCCAGCCCGCGGGAGGCTTCACCGTCTCGCCTCCGTGCGCCTGCAGCTCCGCTCTAGTTGGGGCCAGGCCCCGATAGGCTTCGACTCCGGGAGCCTGGAGTCCCCACCTCCCCAAGACCGGCGGGGGCGGGATGGTCGCGAGGTTGCAGCTTACCGGGGAGCTTGAGCGCCCTGGACAGCACGGTCGCCATGGTGGAGGCCCCGGTGCGCGTGCGCGCGCTCGCGTCCTGCCGGGAAATGTAGTTCGCAGTCGAGGTGCGCGGGGCCGGGACCTGAAAAGGTGGGAGCCGGGCAGCGTGGCAGGGCCTGGAGGAGGAGCCCGTTGCCGCCTCCGCGCCCACGTGCGCGCTCCTGCCCCTCCACCCGCCCCCTCCCGGACAGATGCCTTACTGAGCAGGTCACGTCACCGCTCTGAGCCTCACTCTCCTCCTCCGTGAAATGGGGATCTGATACAGCCCACGGGCTTGCAGTGAGCACGGAATGAGATAATAGATAGGAGGCAAGGGTTGTGAAATACGCCTGGGCTTTGGAGTCAAACGGCTTTGAATTCCGCCCGCAACCCTCACTCGCTGGGCCATCTAGGGCAAGTCACTTGTATGACTAAGTTTCAGCTTAGATATGGAGATAATAGCACCTACTTCAGGAGCATATTGCGAGGATGATATTACATAATCTTTTTAAAACGCGTAGCACACAGCAGGCACCTGATCAGTGTGTTTCTCTGCGTTTCTCAGGTTAAAGGCGAGGTTTCCCCTGGAACTCTAAGCTTCATCTCTGGTTACCAGTTCTTTACAGGGATCCACTCAGCACCCTGCCCCGCAGCTTCCAGCTTGAAGGGTCTAAGGACGCAAGATCAGACCTGTTTCTTCCCCTCAGGCACCAAGAGATAGGCATTTAGTCCAGGAATGCTGAAGACATTATTTATCTTAGAACTGAAGCAGACCTTATCTTAGAACTGAAGCAGACCTTAGAGACTCCTTGTTTTACTGAAGAGAAAACTGAGATCTATAAAGGTGATGTGACTTCTTAGTGGCAAACAAAAGTTCTAAGAGATCTCTCACTTGGACTGCCTCATTTGCATGAGAAACAGTCTTAGGCCTGTCCTGTGAGGGTAGTCCCAGCATTCTAACAGTTATTCCCACCGCACTTTACCCCACACAAAAATATAATATCACTCATGTCGACAGAGGGAAGAGTCTCGAGCCAGGCCGTGCTTGCATGGGCATGCATGCTGAGTCAGTTCAAACTTGTTCCACTCTTTTTGACCCCATGGACTGTAGCCCAGCAGACTCCTCTAACGGTGGGATTCTCCAGGCAAGAATACTGGAGTGGGTTGCCATGCCCTTCTTCAGGGAATCTTCCCCACCCAGGGATCAAACTTGGGTCCCCCATATTACAGGTCGGTTCTTTACCTTCTGAGCCAACAAGAAAGCCCTCCTGAGAATTAAACGGACACATGCAAAGCACACAGAACCATGTGTGGCACTGAGTGTTTTGTGTTAGCTCTCCTTTTTATTAATAACTTATTACTTTTTGACAATGTAATAACTTAATAATAAATTTAATAATACTTTAAGAGATTAGTAAAATTAGTTGTTTATTCTTTGTGTGTACTACCATTGCCGAAATGTCCACTAACACTTCTCTGGAGGTATGATTAAAAACCACGTTTGACATCTATGTGGGTCATCTAAGAAAAACACCATGACAGGTCACAGTAAACCAGCAGAGGCTTACCTGATATCAGATTAGCTAACTGGAAAACATTCTTGAGATATAAAGACTGAGAAAAATAACCTTTAAGCTGAGTAGAATCAGTTTCTGCTGTAGGATAGGAACTTGAGTTTCTGGAAGAGGATGCCTGTGAACTGAAACAGCCAAAAACACAGGAGAGCAGGGAAGGAGAAAATCTGTCCATTTTTCTTAGTGAAAGTCCCTTTTTATGTGATGAAAGTAAAGTAAATTGTACAAGGGCATTTCCTGGTGCTCCAATGGTGAAGATTCAGGCTTTCATTGCCTTGGACCGAGGTTCAATCCCTGGCCAGGTAACTAAGATCCCAAAAGCCGCACAGTATGGCCAAAAAAAAATTTTAATTAAATTGTACAAAGTTTGATTAAAACTTTGCTTAAAACTGTACTGTTGGGACATCCCTGGTGGTCTAGTGGCTAAGAATCCACACTTCCATTGCAGGGGGCACAGATTTGATCCCTGGGTCAGGGACTTAAGGGTAAACACTCTGCCTGCAATGTGGAAGACCTAAGTACAATCCCTGGGTGGCAAAGATCCCCTGGAGAAGGAAATGGCAACCCACTCCAGTATTCTTGCCTGGAAAATCCCACGGACAGAGGAGCCTAGCAGGCTGCAGTCCATGCAGAGGCACTGAGCCACTAACACCTTCACTTTCACTTTTCAGGGAACTAAGGTCTCACAGGCTGCGAGGTGTGGCCCCCAAAATAAATCAAATAAATAAAAATAAAATTCTAAAAAAGAAAAGAGAATAATAGCATGCATTAATAAAAAACCATCATCACCCATAGCACTTACATTTTTGCAGCACATAAATGTATGTAACTGTATGTGCATCCCACAGATACGGCATCTCTAGCCCTTTTAAGCCTAGTCTTTTGGGCATTTCCCCTTTCCCCATCACCACCCCAGCTCTGCCAAAATGACTTTCAGGGGGACGCAGACGCCAAGGAGTCCCTCCCTCCTGGCTCCCTGACCTTATCTCCTCTTTGGCTCTCTTAACTCCACAAATCTCTCCCATCCCCTCCACGTTTTCCCCCCATTTTAACACAGGAACCACAGCTTAAAACAGTGTTTCTCACATGTAATGTACTTTCATTCAATTATAGGAAAAAATTCAAAGCAGCCACCAAACAAATCAGAATCCTAGACTTTTACCTAAAGAAAACCTGTGACATGCTCTCTAGTCACCCGGCAGACTTAAGTGCCTTGCTGCGCAGACCCCTCTGCTGAGGGCACCCTGGAAAACGCAAACACCCAGACTTCCTGGCTTTCTAACCTGACCTCTCTAGGAAGAGTGAGACGAGGAGGGCTGGGGAGAGAAGGCTGAGGACAGCCCACCCTGTCTGACCACTGTGCTTGCCATGAAGAGAAGAAATTCTGACAGTCACAGCTGAAGCCGCAGAACCTATTCTAGTCTCCCTACAAGGATCTGCAGTGGGATTGTTCTTCCTCACCCTTCTAAGCTGCCGATACTTTGTGGTTAAAAACCGTATTTGCTGATTTTTATGACCATTGTGATGCCCAGTGTGTTAGTCGCTCAGTCGTATCCAACTCTACGACCCCATAGACTATAGCCCACTAGGCTCCTCTGTCCAGGGGATTCTCCAGGCAAGAATACTGGAGTGGGTAGCCATTCCCTTCTCCAGGGAATCTTTCTGACCCAGAGATTGAACCAGGGTCTCAAACACTGCATGCAGATTCTTTACTATCAGAGCCACCAGGGGAGCCCTAGTACTGCTCAACAATCTCCAAGCGTCCTATATGGGCTCATAAGCAAATCTGATCATCTGGTACTTCCCATTCTCTAGACAATATGTTCCGTTCTACTGGTCATGACTCTCCTACAAGCTTTTACCACTTCCTCTTGAAATCGGTACCTCTGTGTCCACAGCAGCTGCCACCCCGCCCTCCTGGCACCGCTGGAACCGCCCCAAGCCTCATGGCCATTTCTGCCTCCTTTCAGAAACTGTAACTTCTTCCTATATCTCCCACTAGCCAGGGCCACCTCATATTTGAGCGCTGTTGAAATGTCAAAGCTGTTCAGGGCAGGGGCAGGTGGGGAAGACTGTCCTCTTCTTTCTGTGTTACACTTGATTAGAAAAACAAATGCCATGTTGCCTGTTCTACAAGGTCAAATGTAGTATTTTCATTAAACAGTGCTATTTGTTTTTACCCAGTGAGTCAGTTGGGGCAAGGTTATTGCCATTATCAACAATCTCAAAACTTCAGTGGTTTTCAAGAATCAGGTCATTGCACGGTCAAGGTGAAGGTGGGGATAATCAGCCCTGAGACTCTATTCCTCCAGGTCATTCAGGGAACCAGCTTCTTCTACCTGGTGCTTCTTCATACCTAGGGCCTTCAAGTCCCCCACTGGATCATCTGTATTTTCTGATCATGCAGGAAGATTTATGGGCCAGGACTGGAGGGAGATATATGTGACCTCTGCCCACATTTATTTAGCCAGAACTTAGAAACAAAATGGGCTTCCCTGGTGGTGCAGATGCTAAAGAATCTGCCTGCAATGCAGGTTTGATCCCTGGGTTGGGAAGATCCCCTGGAGGAGGAAATGGCAACCCACTCCAGTATTCTTGCCTGGAGAGTCCCATGGACAGAGGAGCCTGGCAGGCTACAGTCAATGGGGTCGCAAAGAGTCAACACAACTGAGCCACTAACTAGATGCAAATTAGGTTTGCCAGGGAGGTATGGGTGTAGGAAGGAAAGGAAACAGTTTGGTGAGCTTCGAGCCAATCTCTGCTACCCTAGTCACCCCACATCTTTATGGGATACAGACCTGAGTCCTCAGTTTCAGGGAGGGTCTTCAGGCTCTGCTCTACTTAGACCCATTCTTCTTTTCTAGGGACTGAAGCTTCGCTTTGGAACTGAGCTTATTGTTCTGAGTTAGGACTTGCTGCTGCATCTAAGGACAAGCTCTCCTGGGAGGCTCCTCAGCCTCAGCCATCTGACGGCCATTCCTCCATCTGTCAGCAGGGCCAGGACCTGAACTCTCTGGTGGACACACCTCAGGCTCAGAGTATTGTCCCCACTGTTACAGGGGTGCCAAAGAGATTGAATCAGGGAGCAATACCTATGAGATCAAAAAAGAAAAATACCATGGGCTTTCCTGATAGCTCAGTTGGTAAAGAATCCGCCTGCAATGCAATAGACCCTGGTTCGATTCCTGGGTCAGGAAGATCACCTGGAGAAGGGATAGGCTACCCACTCCAGTACTCTGGCCTAAAGAATTCCATGGACTGTATAGTCCATGGGGCCACAAAGAGTCAGACACAACTGAGCGACTTTTGCTTTCTTTCACTATAGCAAATAACAGTGATAGCATGGGGACTACGTTGGTGGAGCAGAGGATAAGAATCCACTTCCCAATGCAAGGGACATGGGTTCAATCCCTGGTCAGGGCAGATCCCACATGCCAAGCAGCAACTAAGTCCAAGCTTCAACTACTGACCCCGAGCTCTA